ACAGTATAATATATTAAATAATTAAATTATAATTTAATTAATTAATATATTATACTGTTTAATTTTTTTCATTTACATTATATTAATTAATATATTATATTATTAATGATTTGTTGAAATATATTATAAAATACTAAATTTGGCTGATTTTTCAATATGTCATTTTTGATCGTTTTACAATGTTCAACAGCTTAACAAATAATGTTTGTCAAGCATAATTAATTCATCAATTAACTTATCAGTTACAATTAATTTATTGATTATCAACTATTTTATCAAACGTAGCTTATGAACCATCTTCTACAAAAAGTTTTAAAGGAAATAAAATTAAAATCGTACCTATTTGTATATGCAAATGCTTGTGTATATGTAAAGATTCATAGAAAATTTTAAAAAAAATAACTAAAGAATTCATATAAACTGTTAGATTGAGATTTTTCAACTGATCTGAATCACATTTTAAAAAAAACTGAATCACCTTTAAAAAAATAAAATCCTTTCTTATTTTTTAAATCGAAAATTGGTGAAATATAACAACCGTTGGGGAGAAATATTAAAAATACAACTATTTTATTATTTTTTAATTTGACATTCATTTTTAGTATATTTTTTCATCCTTTTGTTTGTTATTTTTTGGGTTTTTGAGATCCTGTCTCGGTCTCATCTATGATAAAAACAAAAAAACACACACACATATATATATATATATATATATATATATATGTATGTAAATGTATATGTATGTATATGTATATGTATGTATAGGTGAAGGATGGTGTAGGCATGGGAATAGGGCGGGAATGGGGGGGAGATCTCAATCCCCGTCCCCGTCCTCGATTACTTATCTCTATCTCCATCCTTGCCCCATCCCCGCCAGGGAATATAATCGCATCCCCATCCCCATCTCTAACGGGGTAACGAGGATTTTTTTGCCGTTTACGTAAGTTATTTTAAATTAAATATGTGAGAGACCATACATATTTAAATCTCAAACATTTTGAACAAACCTAAAACCAAAATAAATTTAATTTAATACAAAAAAACCACAACATCATAAAAGAACTAATAACCTAATACCAAAAAAAAAAAATTCAAGTTAATACAAAAAAAAATTAAAATCACATGTACTAAAAAATATTGAGTAATATAAAACCATATCGAGTAATATACAAAACTTATCGAGTAATTGTATTTTGACTTGACATTCAAAAAATAACAATTTTAGATTATAAATCTAGTTAGAAAATAGAAAATTATGAATTACCACTTTAGTTGAAATTAGTAATATACATATATATATATATATATATATAATTTATTAATTAATATATATAAGGGGTACAGGGCGGGGAGTACCATACCCGTCCCTGTCCCCGGTTTGAGACAAACGGGGATCCCCGTCCCCGACCAGGGCGGGTGGACCGGGTTCCCCGATGGGTCGAGGCCCATTCCCATGCTTAGGATCGTGTGAGAATGGAATTTATGGTGAAAAACGTAATCACTTTTAAAGTCATGTCCATCCATATATTATATTTTAGAAGGGAATTGATTGGGTATACCTCATTAGTGTTGAAATTTAATTAAGATAGATCCATTGGTAGAGATCTCTTTTTATGATTTTCACCATAACTTCACTTCTTACCGAAATCCGACCTCGTACACACACATATACATATACATATACATATATACATATATATATATATACATATATATGAGCGATCAAATACAAACCAACTAATTTGTACAAACCGTGCAAACCTCATTCAACCAATCATAATTAATCATTTTTTTGTAATTATGAGAGGTTGATTAATCATTTTTATTGTGGAGGGTGTTAATCATGGATATTATCATCTTCATTATTTTAATTTTAGAGAAATACATGAAACAATTTCATTAAGTATTATATGAAACAATTTTATAACCATATATGAAACAACTTCATCAAAAAAAATATTATATGAAACAACTTCATAAGATTAAACAATTTATGAAAAAATTTCATAAGATTAAACAATTTATGAAAAAATTTCATTAGATTAAACAATGAAATCGACGGATAAATGTGGTTTTCACGGTTTGTACAAATTGAGTGGTTTGCATTTGATCGCTCCTCTATATAGATATATAGGGGTGGGTTAATTTGTTAATCCAATATATGATGTTAACTTTGTGAACCAATCTTATCCATTGATCTTTAAAATTTGTAGTTGAGATCATTCATGACATAAAATGTAAATAATTGCATACATAAATAAGGTAATAGAAGTGAACAATGTTTACAAGATGTATTTTGGGAAAAGATTTTAGTTGTCAATTAATGATAATATGATGTTTTGTAGCTGCCCGTTAATGTGAATGTGATGTTTTGTAACTGCCCATTAATAAGAATGTAACTATCCGGTAATTACTCTCGCCATCGAATTGAAACCGACAACAAAATCTCTGACATCAGATTCTTCTACAACTTTTTTTTTTGGTTAATGGTTCATGTGTGAACAAATATTCAATATTTATGAAAATTGTTCATGTGTGAACAGTGATGTATATGGAAAAAAATGTGAAGATTTTTGTAACATCAATGTTTTATTTTAGTAAGCACATACACTATGTAATTTCGTTCATATATGAAATAAACGTGAAATGATACCTGGTACACTTATGAACAAATATCAAATTGTGCTTATGAACAATGTTCATGTATTTACTTCTGAACACTATTAATTTTTCTTAAATAATTGGTAATTTGTACATACCTAGTTTTTGTTACGTGTATGTGGTTGTTAAATTCACATATGAACACTATACTTTTTTAAATGTTGAAACAAGATGGTTCACCTATGAGCAAATGTTTACTCAGGTATAATTAAGAAATGTAACTAACAATTAATTTACTTGGAATAATTAAAAAAATATGACCAACAATTAATTTGCATGAGATTCACAATGGCAAGACATGGAATAATTAAGAAATGTAATCGAAAATTAATTTGCAATAAAAAAAGATCAAATAAAAAAAATTACATTTTTATTTTCATTAAATAAATTTATCATGTGCATCAACCGAAAGTGTATCTTATTTTCTCATTAAGGTTTGTAAAGTTAACACATTTTAATTGATTAAGAAAAGATCTTATTCCTAGAGAACTTCAAAAATACGATCATTTTATTATTTTTAATTTAATATTTATTTTCGTCTTTTCATTGTTTTTTTGTGTTTTTAGGGTTTTTTTTTTTGAGATTCTATCTCCATCTCATGTATCTTAAAAACATAGAGTTTGTTTCAAATACAACCTATCATATTTGTACAAGCATTGTAACCCAATAAATTGAAATATTTATAGAAATATATGATAAGAGTTTATTATTATGATTTAATTATTTATGAAAGATGAATAAGGTTCAATTATGATTAATATTTTATATTAAAAACAATCAAAATTTTTATGAAATTATATATTCATCAAATTAAATGAATGATTGAAATTAAGTTGTATTAGTTATACAACTAACCAACCTCTAACATGTATTAGATGCACGTGTGTAGAATGTTTCCTACCATCAATATATAAGAATTAATTAATATATTACTTTTTATTTTATTTACGATGAAATTTCAACGTATTAAATAACATCAAAATACGACTTTTTCAGTGTACTCATTTTTTTCCGTAAAATACAACCATTTAATGCATTCGTCAAACACCCCAATTAAGATCACCTTTTCCTTTTATTTCCAGACCAAATATTTGTACCCTAAAATGATCGACTCAGATTCATTACAACTGCCACGTGTCAGCATCATGTTCTTTGATCAAATTAAATTTTCTTTTGTTATCATCTTAAAAATAAAAATAAAAATAAAAAAATTATAAACCTTACAAAACCAGACACCCATTTGGAACAACAACATTCCAAGAACAAAGAGGTGTCCATCAAAAAAATGAATTTTTTACTCGCCGTCGCCGTCTCCGCCGTTTACAGCGTCGTAAACAAATTATCATCATGAAGAAGAAAACCAACCACCACCTCCATCACCGGAATAATCGCAGCCGGAGCAGCAACAGCAGCAACACCAACAACAACAACTCGGTGTTGGGTATATTACAAAGCGTAATCTTCTGTCGCCGCCGTCGTTTCCGCGGCCAGCTCCTCCCCTTCATCTCCGCCGTGGGGGGTTGTATTCTGTTTTTCTTTGCCATTGTTTCATTTCTGTCACCACCGATCAACCACCACCATGTCCACCATTTCCGTTACAACCATAGCTCGGTAATTAATTAATCAATTAAACCCATTTCAAGATATCGGTTTTATTCTTCAATTAATGAACCTGCTATCTTTCTTTTGACTTCATTCATCCAATCTCATTCACAAAACTCCATCAACAGCTTGATGACGAAATCGATTTCCGGTCAAATATTGGAAATACATCAACTTTTCTCATTCCCGTAAGAATTCATCAATTTCATACCTTTTAACTTCTTCACAAATCCCATTTCTGGTAAATGAATCTGTTCATGGAAATGGATGATATATGCAGAGAGCAGGTGGGAGTTTAGGAGATGAAATTTGGAGGTCGACTCAATCACAATCATATTATGGTTGCTCCCAAAAAAGCGAAAATCATCAAGGTTTTCTTATTCTAATCATTTAATTTCTGGGTGTTCGATTAATTCTCAATGAAATTTCTGTAAATTCGTTTCAAGCGTTAATGTCGTTTTAGGGTTTATCTTTTGATGAATCTTTTGCGATGCCATGCATGCGGCTTCCGTCTCTTTTCGATCACGAAAAAAACGAAATCTCTGATTGTTTTGCTAAATTTAGAAACTTTATCGATGAATTCGTTACGAAGTTTTGTTTATCTTATAGATGTGGATGCAAAAACAAACGACAGTCGGTTCTTGATGATCGTTACGAGCGGTGGTTTAAATCAACAACGAACCGGAGTACGATTTTCTTTTGATTTCATAGAATGGAAAATGAAACCCTATAAGAAATAATGGTGGATTGGAATGCAGATAACGGATGCTGTTGTTGCAGCTTATATACTTAACTCCACGTTAGTTGTTCCCAAGTTAGATAACAAATCATACTGGAAAGATCAAAGGTCTTCAAGTTCATTTGGTTTCAATTTAGCTGTACATGCATATATATATATATATATATATGTATATATATGTATATATGTATATAATCAATCTTACTTGTAATATGTATTCGTCATTGTGTAGCAACTTCTCCGACATTTTTGATGTTGACTGGTTCATATCGTATCTCTCAAAAGATGTTAAGATAGTAAAAGAGGTTCCAATGATCGAGGGAAGATCCATTCATCCATATCAAATGCGTATACCCCGCAAATGCGATCCGGAATGCTATCATTCTCGCGCACTACCTCTTCTCGAGAAGAAAAAGGTCGGGTCTTGATCATTTTCCATGGTTTTCTTTCGTGTTGGCGAAATTGATTTCGAGTTTTCGACGTGTTGCAGGTTGTTATGCTTACGAAATTTGATTACAGGCTCTCGAATAGGTTGGACCCCGATTTACAGAAGCTGCGGTGTCGAGCTAATTATCATGCTTTGAGGTATACGGAACCGATTTGTGAAATGGGTGAGAAGTTAGTCGAGCGAATGCGGATGAAAAGCAAGCGTTTTATCGCGCTACATTTGAGGTAATCGAAACTACTAAGGTCGAATTCTTCTTCTAATATAACGATATTACCTGACCGATTTTCGTTAACAGATTTGAATCGGACATGCTCGCGTTCTCCGGGTGCTACTTTGGAGGTGGAGATAGAGAAAGGGAAGAACTAGAACAAATCCGAACGAGATGGGAAACTCTACATGTACGTTGATCTTTGTTCGTTATTATTTACGTTTGTATGCAATCTGTTTCGCAATTGCTAAATGGTTTGGTATAGAATGATTAAGTGGTCAGAATGATTAAGAGGTTCTCATGATATAATACAAAATGAAATATAATTGTTTGGTAACTGTGTACAATGAAATTAGGGCTCTTAATGGTTAAGGGAAATTCAGTATACAAAATCATTCAGAGGATTTCAGAACCATTAAGAGACAATTTTTTTTTTGCCAAACAAGATTCACCTCTTAACGATTCAGAGATTGCCTCTTTTAACGATTCAGAGATCGCCTCTTAATTAAGCACGCTGTTAGATCTAAATAGACACATTGGATTTCTACTTTTTAATACAGAAACGAGACCCTGATAAGGAACGAAGGTTAGGGCGATGCCCGTTAACGCCAGAAGAAGTCGGGCTAATGCTAAGAGCGTTAGGATACGGGGAGGATGTTCACATTTACGTGGCTTCTGGTGAAGTTTACGGAGGCGAAAACACCTTATCGCCATTGAAACAACTTTTCCCGAATTTTCATTCTAAGGACACTATCGCAACGAAAGAGGAGTTGGCACCATTCGCACCCTATTCTTCTCGTATGGCCGCTCTAGATTTCATCGTTTGTAATGCGAGCGACGTTTTTGTCACCAACAACAATGGTAACATGGCGAAAATGTTAGCAGGGAGAAGGTACGATACTATTAAAAACATGTTCATATGATCTCCCCTTTCAAAATCACTACACTTTCATACTTTCTGTTATCCAGGAGATACTTTGGCTACAAGCCAACCATCAGACCGAACGCCAAGAAACTTTATCGATTGTTCTTGGATCGCGGTAACATGACATGGGAAGAATTCGCATCACGGGTCCGAACTCATCAGATTGGATTCATGGGACGACCAAACGAGGCTATGCCAGGAAAGGGTGAATTCCATGAATATCCAATCGTATGCATATGTGAAGATTTAAACACCCAAATTCAAAATCGTAGCCAAGGTCTGAGCCAAAACCAAAGTGAACCGAATAACCACGATGTTCAAGCAAACAAACGCGATAGAAATGAGTCGGAAAGCGTAGTCAAGGAGCAACAACGAGGGAATGAAGAACACAACAATTCATATACACAACAAATCGAGAACGGAAACGGAACTCGAGTTAAAGAATTGCTAAGAAGAAACAAAAATGATTCGGATTGCGGATTGGAAGAAGGTCATCAGACTAACACTTAGGATAGGATGGTTGTATGTATATATTGTATATATATTCAATTACAAAGCATTTGATGCCGAGCTTATCAATTCAGTCTTGATGAATTCATTATCTTAATAGTCTTAGCTTAAAAACCAACAGCTTTTTGAGCATATAGACGTTGTCATTTTCATCAAATAACGAAGGATTCTCTTGGCAACTAATAAGTGCAGCTCTGTTGGATTTTCTATTATGTATCTGCTAAACGAACACACAGAGATGATGTCGGGTCTTGTAGCAGTAAGATACATCATGATACGAACCGAACATGTAAAGGACTACCAACGATTTGATTTTTCCAGATTTGGATGAAACACTTATGAGCGATCGACCCAAGTGATAGAAGTTGTTTGAAGAATCTTTCAACGGAGTTAAGACTGAAACTCAACATGTGAGTGAGGGAGAACCTTAACTAAAACTCCACCCTTCAAATTTAAGAACCTTAGTTATGAGAATTAAGACCCTTAAACAGCAATAAGTAAATGAAGAACGAAAGCTAAAGACGCCACACTCAAGGGAAAGCGAACCTAAGTTTGAAGGAAAACACAAAGCCTCACTTTGTAGAATTAGCTATCATGGGCTCCATCTTTGACCAACAAAGTAGTCATGAGCTTGGGCTCGACTTCATGTAACTTGGACTCTTCTTGAGCTTGGGCTTCTTTGACAAACTGATTGAGGGTCTCCTTCATTTTTTGCTCATAGCTCTTGTCATTTATGTACTCAAAAGCATTTTTTGATGATGATTGTTTGAGACCATCCTTGTGAAAACTTAATTCATGCTCCTCGCTTTTCCTCCTTTCGTCCCCATCACCTCAGACTGCCTACTATTTGCTTAAAGAGTGTGTTGTCAACTTTTTTCCATTTTCATCTTTGTGTAACTTCATGGCAAACTCGGTCGGAGAGCATACTACATTGCTACCCTTCATTTGAATCTGTTCATAAGTTCTCCCACATATTTATTATGGCAAATAAATATTCCAACATCTGATTGCATCACTTATATTCCCAGAAAGTAGTGCATCAAACCAAGATCAGACACTGCAAATTGATTCGTAATGGACCTCTTAAATTCTAAACATGATAGAATTTTTCTAGTAAATAAGAAGTCATCAACATACAAGCAAACCGTGAGCATTTCTCTATTTCTTCCAACTTCAACAAACATAGTGTATTCAAAAGGACATATTGTGAATCCCTTCTTAAGAAAATACGCATCAATGCGACTATACCAAGCCCGTAGGGCTTGTTTAAGTCCAAATAGGGCTTTTCTTAGAAAATAAACCCACGGTTTTGTAGAAAATAAACCCATGCTTTCTTAAAAATCATCAGTGAAAGTAATCAATTACCTTTTTCCTAATCTCTATCGAAATCAAACTTGTGAGGCGTCTATTTGTGTCAGGGGCCCTGGATATGTAACTGCTCAAGATATCATTCTATTTTCCAAACGGGTTTATTGGATCACCGATGTCTGAATGAACCAGTTCCAATACATACTTTTCTCCCCATGACTTGCCTTTTGGAATTTGGGACCAATGTTGCTTTCTAATGACACATTCTTCACACACTTCGAAGGGAGCTTCAATGTTTGGAAGTGTTGTCACCATTTTCTTTTGTAACGTCTTGACCAAAATTTAGGTTACAATATCGAAAATGCCTCAATCACGAAGAGATTTTCGCTCCCACCAACAAACGTGATTGAATTCTTTACACTTTTACGGGATACAACCTGTTAGAGCTCATATGTACGGTCATAAATTACCTTTCTCCTTGCAAGATCATATATTTTGCAAACTGCTTTCTTAAGTGTTGTTGGAGATATGCCCATAAACATAACAAAATAGTGATATAGTTAAATGCATGGGCCTATTGGGTTTCACACAAAGTTTTAATAATGTAAAAACTTCAAGGCCTGTTCTTCTATGGTAAAACATCTCTTCAACTTCTATGCATGGACCAACAAGGAGCTTTGAAGCTCATCAAGGGAGAACTCATCAATATTATTGGATTCTTCAACGGAACACACCACTTAGTCAAATTTGGATGTTAGTGAGCTCAAATTCGTTTCACCAATATGGTTGTATCGTTTATATCTTGATCATGGATACGCATGTTGTTTGCAATACCTATGGCCCCTGCAAAATAGTCAATAACAACTTCACCTTCCTTCATTTGTAAAACCCCAAAGTTTCTCCTTAATGCTTGGATTTGGGCATGCTTAACTCTTGAAGAGATGTGGTCTTCTCTTCATTGAATCTCATATATATCCTTGGAACTATCTCTGCTAAGATTAGTTTCTAGGATACATTGGTGATCAATTGCTTGAAATAAATAGTTCTTAGCTTTTAAGTCTTTCATTTTGAAACCTTCCGGTTCTAGCTTTTTGCTATGCATCAGTTAGACCCGTCACATCTTCTGATTTTGCTACACCATATTCAATGACCTGCCAATACTCTTTGGATCTAAAGAAGTTCTCCATGAGCATACTCCAACGGTCATAGTGACATAGTTCTTAGACACCATTTGATTGCTGACGCCACCTTCTTTGGAACTTGGACTGTGTTGTCTTTTGCTCTGATACCACTGACCAAAGAAAAAGGAAGAAATTTTGCAGAAATTATAGTGAAAGGTATGCAGCTGAAGTAGTTAATTTCATTGAAATATGTTGAGGTCTTTAAATAGGTAAAATATACAACTGAAAAACTAGAAAATAGGATCTATAATAGTCGTAAACTCCAATTGGAGTTAATATCATGCACTATATTACATATAGTGTGTCTTTGTATATTTTGATAGTATGTTAACTTGCTAATGGTAGTTTAGGGTTTGTTTGTCTTTGATGGAAGGTTCTAGATGTAGTTAGTATTAAGTAAGTTATGGGTATAAATTATGCTTTTGTATTCATTTTGGTTAATGAAAGTTTACAGATTTCTCTCAAAAGCCATATATGTATCACGTCCGCCACAAATCCCCCAATGATTTTTTTGGAAAAAAAATTAAAATTATTAAAAACGGTTTTTCAACGGATTTGTGACGGATTTTTTACTTATTCAAAACCGTCACAAATCCGTAACAAAATTTGTCTAATTTATTTAAATAAACTAATTAGCGTTAATCAATAAAATTTCTGACGGAAATTTAATTTTTTTTCGGTCCATTAAAAATAAAAAGCATTTTCATATTTTAAATTTGGAAAAAAAGTTTTTAAATATAATTACCGACGGAATTTCCGTCGGAAAAATGTTATTTTTATTTTTGAAATAAAAACTGATTATTGTTTTGGAAGAAAATGGAAAAAGTTTACGGACGGATTTCCGTCGGTAACTCTAATCTCATTTTATATTCCTTCTAATTAACCCGGGTAATGGATAACATATTATAAAATTGTTCACGGATTTCTGGCGGATTTTTTCGTCGGAAAATACAAATCCGTTAGAAATTTCGTCGGAAATTGCATTTAGCGGCGGGGGTTTTTTCGACGGCAAAATCCGTCGGGAAGTTGTTTTTCCGACGGATTTTGCTGTCGAAAAAACTAGATTTTTTAGTAGTGATGTACTTCAAAATATAATTCATAGTTACTCATGTCACATGTAATTTTGTTTATAACTTATATTTCTTTTCTACCATGATCAATATCATATATGATACACTAACAAAAATTAGTGATTCTTTTTTAGGGAAAAAATGTGAATTAATTGTAGATATCACATGTGATTTTTGATGAAAATTTGTAAAAAATTCTTAAATAAACTACTTTAATAAAATAAATATTTTAAATGAAAAACTAAATCACACTTATTTTAGATGTTGTAAAATAATAAATAAAAAATATTCATTCTTAAATCACAAAAATCATAAATAGATAAAAATCATGAATAAATACCTTTAAAATTTATTAGATATTTTTATATAAATAAATGAATTTCTATATATAAATTTGCCTTATCCCTCTAATCAATCTCGAGTGACTCGATCACAATGACACCAAAATAATTTATGACAATAAAAACCAACATGTTCTTATTTATTGAGTTTCTTGGAGTCATCGTGTAAGTTGTAATCCTCCCACTTCGAGTTTTGTTAATACAAAAGATCACTCATCTCCTATGTAAGTATACTTTCTCACCGATATTGGAATTCGTTAAATCTCGTGTCATCTAAATGCTTTATGATATCTAAATTGTCTTGTAAAGTTGCGTACGTGCTTAATAGCATATTGGTAATCCTTGTTGGTGTTTAGTTTCTTAAGCTTATTTTTTTTCTGTATTTATATTATGTGTTGTTGGGTTGTTACATTGATCTCGTTGTCGTTTGAACGGACCCTGAGATATTTGTCCATTTCGACGGAACACCATCATCAAAAGAGTTTGATATGTTGTAGTTCACCATAGGGAGTACAGGATCTTAATGATGACTTAGAGGTTTGCTGAATGAATCAGAAGGCAGTAGGAGAGGCACTAAAATAGACAATTCAGAAGGTTATTCGACCTATATGAAAAGAAAATAAATGTATACAACACATAGGTAGGAGCACATGCATGTTGGCCAATTTGTTTTAAAAAAATGGATCATATTCAGAGAGATTCCTTACGTTCCCAATGCCTCCGAACATGCATATACGTTTTTCTAGATGAATTGCAGATGCAACTCGTGGTTCTTTATTTTATTGATATTGATTCTTATTTGATCAGTGGTTGCTGGTGGGTTAGAGACATGGTGACTGAGCACACTATATAACAATGTCCAAACAATTTCTATTTCTAATCCAGATAGAAAGAAACACCAAGTTGATGCCATTCGTGATTATATATATATATATATATATATATATATATATATATATAGTAGGTGGCCATTTAAGATGTTGGCAAGATTGTGCATGTTAATGAAGCATGTGAATACCGGAGTAGGACATAGAATAATCAGAAATGAGCTGTGGATATGGACGGGAAGGAGACATTGAATAAACATCACTGAAACCCCCACTATATATGCCAAGTTTGTAATCACTACTGGGAAGGCAGTAAAATTCAAATCAAATTCTCAGCTTTGAGTTCTTAGCAACAGATGGCTGCTATTTCTCCAATCACTAAATCCCATTGTCATGCACGATCCATCAGCTTACCCTCTTCATCACAAGAACAATCGGTATTCAATGAGTTGTGCAGAGTTCAAGCTTCTCAAGAAGCCACCACATCTTGTTCATCATCATCAGTGATAGGCCACAAACTAAATGAGCTGAATGATATGTATGAATCACTTGAGCCATTGTTTACATTGCCAACCACTCAACAATCCCTAGCCCAAGGATGCCACAAAGAACAACTGAACAAGTCATTAGATGAACTTCTTATGCTTTTGGATCTTTGTAGCACCACCAAGGATGCCTTGTCTATTTCGATCGACTCTGCCAAAGAACTCCAGTCAGTTCTTCGACGCAAAAGAGGTGATAATCATGGGTTAATTTCCTCAGTCGAGGAATATCTTTACAACAGAAGAAAATTGAACAAGGCTGTTTTTAAATCGTTGTCAAGTTTGCAGAAGCAAAGTTCTTCTGCAATCAAGGAAGACCAGAGAGGAACATCAAAAATCAGTATATTAAAGGAAATGGAATCGAACACTTTGACTGTGCTTGAATCCTTGCTGACCTTCATTCTTGGATCAAATGTGCAGTCAAAGCGAAAAGGGTGGTCTATCGTCTCAAAGATAGTTGGCTATAAGCGTGTGCAGTGTGATCAAACACTTGAAGAAAGTAAAGTTAAGAAGGTGGATGATGAACTGCATTCTCTCATCAGCAACAAGAAAACAAAATTAGGGAGCTTAGAAGCCGATACCATACAAATGGGATTGGCAAATTTAGAACTGCACCTCCTTGATCTTGATGAAAAAATCGACTGCCTACGCAGATGTTTGATCAAAGCCAGAGTGTCAATTCTAAACATCCTGAACTTCTAGAAACAGGCCAAAAAAAAAATCCATGATGTGGTCATGTATTAGAATTTCTTTTTTCTTGATCATAGTTTTGTTAAGATGGACATAATTTGTGAACAGTGTATATGAGTTGATAGATACTGGTCTAAATTTACTTTTCTTGCATTAATTTAGACATAAATATTATCTCCTACTTTACTCTAGAATTCCAAATTCTGAAGGGATTTTCAATCTTGCTCTACATGAAATACTGTCCTTTTAGGGAGGCATATTTGGAAAATTAATGGAATACTAATCTGCTCCTATTTCATTCTTCTTACAAGAATTACTTCAAAGTTCTAATTAAGCTCCTTACCATGGTATCAGCTTCTGCTTCTGCTTAAATAGCCTCCGACAAAGGTGCCATATAGTTGTATATTCTTGAAATCTTACGTACCTGAGCTTCTACGTTCTTCGATTCACTGAGACAGTGCTTAAGGAAGTATTTCTTAGAACGCCATCTACAGCAAATATTGATCGTACAATTTCCCTGATAAGAGGAATGCATCCATCTAATTAATCTAATTAAGCCTTTTTAGGAAAGAAACTTGAGTAGCTAATGTATGATCAGAAGTAGCAAGTCAATTATCAAATATCAAGACCTTTTCCAATAAGCTGCAGTAAATCGTAGACTGCAACCGAAATTAAAATATGCTACGCATGAGACGAGTTTAGTTCATAACTTCCTGGCTCCCAAAGGCCAAAACAAGTTACATGAACAGAAAAATAGCCACACACATGCACAAAGAGTAACAGCTAGCATTGCATGCATGTGAAGTGCACATGTTTGGCAGTGTAATTATGAAAATAAAATTTGGTTCTAGAAATTAATCAGGCTCAAGAGGTTCCTTAATTATGTCTCGAATTATTAAGAGCCTACTGAACTGTAGATGCCACTCGTGTTGAGTATTATATGGCGATTGATTCACATTTGGTCAATGGTTGCCGGGTGACAGGAGACATGGTGATCTAAGAGACCATATATAAATATTGCTGAGAAACATTTAAATCATACATCAGCAAATAAAATCCAAATTCTGCATCGAAAGAAACACCTAAATAATGCCAATGGTGTTTTAATAGATATATGCGCATGCAGATCATTCATGTGCATGCTGGGGTACATCTACAGAATAATAATCAGAAATGAGCTGGGAGAGATTGCATACACATGGCTGAGTATCAATTAAACCTAATGAATTCAGGAATCAGGATCACATAAAAGATTGGCTGCCCCAACCCCTACTATATAATACCAAGTTTACAATCTGAGAAAGACGACATACTTGAAGTAAATTCTCAGTTTTGAGTTCTTACAAATGGCTGCTATTGCTTCAAACACAAAAACCCATTTTCATACACGATCTATCAGCTTGCCCTTTACATCAGACCAATCATCTGTATTGAATGAGAAGCTCTACAGATCAAAATCTTCTCAAGAGGCCATCACATCTTGTTCCTCGTCATCGTTATCACTAATAGCCCAGAAACTAAATGGCCTTCATGATGTCTATGAATCTGTCAAGACGTTGCTTGCAATGCCATCCACTCAACAATCCCTAAGCCAAAAATGCTATAAAGAACAGATGAACGAGTTGTTAGATGAACTTCTTGATCTTCTGGATCTTTGTAGCACCACCAAGGATGCCTTGTGTATGTCAATGGACTCTGCCAAAGAACTCCAGTCAGTTCTTAGAAGAAAAAGAGAATGTAATCATGGGATGATCTCCTCAGCAGTCATGGAACATCTATCTCAAAGAAGAACTGTGAAGAAGGCTGTTCTTAAAGCTTTGTCAGGTATGAGAAAACAAGGCTCTTTTTCAATCAAAGAAGATCACCTAACCACCACGTCCAACATCAATATTTTGAAGGAAATGGGATTGAACACTTTCATGGTGTTTGAATCCTTGTTGACATTCATTATTGGATCAAACCCACAGTCAACGCCAAAAGGGTGGTCTTTGGTCTTGAAGACAATGGGCTACAAGCGTTTCCAATGTGATCAAACAGTTGAAAAGAATGAAGTTAAGAAGGTGGATGATGAACTACATGCCCTTATTAGCTACAAGAATTCAAAATTTGGCAGCTTAGATGTTGAGAATATACAGAAGGGGTTAGCAGAAATGGAATTTAGCCTTCTAGATCTCACTGAACAAGTAGATTGCCTTTGCAGACATTTGATCAAAACCAGAGTGTCACTTCTAAACATCCTCAACTGCTAGGAAAACTTCAAGATCCATGCATGATCTAGTTATTTATATATATATATATATATATATATATAGAGAGAGAGAGAGAGAGAGAGAGAGAGAGTGATCATATGAAAACCGCCCTCATTTGTGTAAACCGTGCAAACCACCTTCATCTGTCGATTTCATTGTTTAATCTTATGAAATTTTTTCATGAAATTGTTTAATCTTGTGAAATTGTTTCATATAATACTTTTTTTGATGAAGTTGTTTCAT